AGTCTGGGGCACGGAGCATGTTTCTGCTCTAGCCCTAGCATGATCCCATATAGCAGCAATGGTGGCATGACATCTCCAGCCCCAGCTCTGGGACCCACCTTGAGCTGCTGCTGCTGCTATGGGACCACACTGGAGCTGGAGCAAACACATGCTCTGTGCCCCAGGCTACAGCAGAGACAGAACCTGCTGGGACCCAAGCCAGAGCAAGGGTAAGTGGAGGGTGGGGGTAAAGGCTGCTGGGATGCAGGGTTGAGGAGAAGGGGGAAGGGAGGCAGAGGGCCTGAGGCCACAAGAAGGTGGGGTGGGTATGCAGCCACAGCAGCTGTCTGCCCCCCTTGCCAGCTTGTACTCAAGTCGAAGAAGAAGGGCTTTTTCCCCCCCTACATTAAAAGGAGAAAGAAAACCTTGACTTGGAATCAAATAAATATGGAAGGTAGAATGAAACTATCTAAAGGTGGTCCCTCCCCTCTACCATGCCATACTAGCCCAGCCCAGGAAAGACAGAAAAGAAGAAGTGTAGAACCAACAACCAGTTTGATTCTCTAGCTCAGTCTTGGCAAAGGTTAAAGGTTAAAGCAGTCCAGAGCCTATTTTTTCTTGTATCACCTGGATGCTCCACCTACTTTCCTTTCCTGCACCCAACATGCCTCCTGTGCCAGGGGCTGCACAAATGGAGGTGCAAGACCTGACATCAGCTCTGAGCTGGCTGGAGAGGTTCTTCCCTGAAATATCAACCATGGCCCTTTGACCTGTTTAAAATATTTGGACATCAGGCTGAAAAGGCTGGATAATACTGGTGTAAATGAAGATACAGGTGACTGCACAATTACAAAGGGTGTCTTAAATTCAGCCGGAAAAATTGAGCAAGGAGAATGATTAAAAAGTAAGTAATGAGGTGAGGAAATTCATTTCAACTTTCTGAAAGAAAATATATTAACCTAATATAAACATGGTGACATTTCATCAAGGAAGCGTACCCTTTTTATTTTAAGGAATCTAGACCACATGGATACCTGTGTATTTAACTGGTGTGACAGGTTTTAATATGTCCTAAACAAATCTAATCATTCCAACTTTTTTTTTTAGGTACTGCTCTGATCAATGGAAAAGCTTTCTAGCAAGTACTTGGAAAATGATAAAAGCATTTGCCATCGTTATTTTTCCCTTTTGACAATGATCTATGTCTGTATAGCTCATCAGTCATCTCTTGTAAAAACAGCATGGCACTTTGATCAAACAGCCAACAATAGCTTCCCGTGTGAGGTAAAATGTTGTGAGAGGCCATCAGATAGAAATCGCATTTTCCCTGAACAATAGCAATGCAGAAATGATGTGCTTGATTTACTTGCAAATAAAATCATGTGAAAAGTGATATCTCCTCACAGGTTAAAAAGACACTGATCCTTTTATTCACCCTTCTCTGTTAAACAAACTCCGCTGTCATGTCGCAACTTAAATGGAGTGTGTATATGCAGTGATAAAGAGGCACATTCCAGCTCTATGAAAAATAACTGCCACTGTTGAAAAATTACCTGCATTAAACCTTACACTTATCCCACAAACTTTAAGAGCAAGATGTGGGAGTTTGATTTTGATTACAGGCCTCTGTGTGGTAGGCAAAGGTCTTTAACCTACATTTTCTGAACGTACTAGGTACATAGTTTTATCAATGTCATGCCTCACTGGGTCAGTGTAGGATTTTATCTAAAACCTGAGGCATTCCAGTTTATACTGTATATGCAAACACAACCTTTTACCGGTGCTTTCTGTCCTTTGTTTCATTAGCGGGCCTACTGTATTTATGGAGAAGGGAGCTACAGACAAGTTGCACCTAATTTTACTCATTTAGAGTTCTACTGAGACAAGAGCTTCAAAAGAGAAAGGTTTGTTTATTGGAAGACGGGTATGTGCCCAAATCAGTGGAGAGGAAACATTTTATAGTGTTAAGAAAAATGCCACTTTTTGTTCTGGCTTTTCCAAACCCTCTGCTGAGAGCAACAGCATTTATTCCTAATAGTACAGATTGAATATAATTACATTGCAGCTGAACAGAAACTGAATTATACACATTATGGGACTTGAATTTTAGCAGATTTGAATCATCAGTCAATATCTTTGAAAAACAATGTTAACAATAGTGTAAATAATTTGTTCTCTTTGATCATAACATAAGACCAAGGGCTAACATCCCCAATGAGAGTTAAGCACCTCACTTTTACTTAGGTGTCTAACTCTCAATTCACTCTTGTGAAACATTTCAATGAGAGCTAGGTACATAAATACCTTTGGGGGTCAATGCTACACATGAAGATGTGGTACCCTTGATATGGTTGCAAATATTTTTGTCCCACAGTACCAGAGATTTTTGAAGCATAATAAATTAAGGTGTTAAAGTGCTGGGTTTAGTTACTGATAAGGATAAGCTGCATTTGTGTCTTAAGATGAGTTATGCTGTTGGGCTGTCAAGTTGAAAGTGGCCAGGTAAGGAGACTCTGCCCTGAGAGGACAATATCATCCTTTCTGACCATAACAATAACACAACACAGCAGTGAGTGTGTTTCTAGTTAGATGATTTGCAATCCTTAATTTTGTATTACTGCTTTAATAAGCTGAATGACTGTCGTTATTCTTAGAGTTTCTTTGTTGATTTCTGACTTCCATTATAACCTTTGGGAAGAGAATGCTTGCTGTGCAAGAGAACAAATATTTTGCATCCTGAAGGAAATGCTGTCACTTTTCAGGGAAGAAAATCTCATGATAGTCCACTGCAGCTTCAGTTGGATATGGTATTCCTTGCTTCCTGTCCTAAATTTGAGTTCTGTGCACGAGCATAGTGCTATTCCAAGAGCAATTCAGTGGGTGAAATGATTGGTATACATGTAAAGTCTGTAAAACAATTTGGAGTCTTTTGAGAGAGAACCTCCTGTTTAAAATGTTATTCTTTTGGGGAAATAGGGAGAGTCTGTATCCCACTATTATAGCAATGAGAGGTAACATTTTTAATGCTTTTGCACGGGTGTTCAGTTCCTTATATGGTGATTTGACTAGGCAGAAACAAACTGATAACAATTACATAATCTGGAGCTATAGAGAATGACTGTGATCAATGACTACCAGTGCTTAAACACTACCTGCAAAATTCAGAATAGCGAAGTTTGTCCTTTCCTGCTTTTCCAAAGAAGTGTACCAGCAACATTGTATTAACATCTGAGTCTCCCAGCTCTGGCTCCTATAAAACAAATTAAATACACTTGTATTATTATTATTATTATCAATTCAACACAAACCTACAAATGCTTATTTGAGTTAGAATGTCGCAGGAGTTGCTTGCAATTCTGCTATTGTTGCAGCCAGCAAATACAAATTCTTAAAGAAAAGCTGAACAATTCTTTTCAGCAATGAACTGTGACCTGTGTTGTACTTGAACTATCAGAAGCAGAAGATGTAGCAGCTAAGCAGCACTAAACAATGGGCATAAACAGGGTCATCATTTAACTCTTCCTTTGGTAAAACATTAATCATGGGGTTAAATGTGAGGATAATTATGGTTTACATATGAAACAAATCACTTCTCTGATTTTACTCCCATAATTCATGACGTAGTAGTTTGCTCCAGTAGGCACTTAAAAAGAAAAAGTATTGTACTGTTTGTCAGACTCTAAACTTCCTGCTATAAGTCCGAATATGAAGGTGTCCAAGGGAACTGCCATGTACTGGTTATAGCAAAAACACTGTATTAAGTTAGCTAACTGACCTGGCAATAGCAACTTAAAATTACTTATCACTGATTGTTTAGGATATAGTATAATTCAAGTACTAATTTAGGATAGGAATTAACAGCTGTCTTCAAAAAAATGGAGATTGCTTTCTAGTTTTATAGGTGTTCTGCTTTAGTTAAACTGTATAATAGACATGACACTAAATAGCATGGTAGTGCCACCTTGAATAATATGGCACAAAATAGTTTCACAGTTTCACAGTCTGTAAGTCGGCACGAACCTGAGCAGATCATCAAGTCTGACTCCCTGCCATGGCAGGAAAGAGTACTGGGGTCAAACAACCCCAGCAAGGTGTTCATCTAACCTCCTCTTAAAGACCCCCAGGGTAGGAGCCAGCACCACTTCTCTTGGAAGTTGGTTCCAGATCCCAGCCGCCCTAACTGTGAAGTAGCGCCTCCTGATATCTAGTCTGAATCTACCCTCTGCCAGCTCACGACCGTTACTCCTTGTCACTTCTGGTAGTGCTCGGGGGAACAGGGACTCCCCCAATGCCTGCTGGTCCCCTCTGACTAGTTTGTAACAGGCCACTAGATCCCCGCTCAGCCTTCTCTTGTGGAGGCTGAACAGGTTCAGGGCCCTTAGCCTCTCCTCGTAGGGCCTGCCCTGCTGCCCCCTGATCATGCGAGTGGTCCTCCTCTGGACCCTCTCAATGTTGTCCACATCCCTCCTGAAGTGCGGCGCCCAGAACTGGACGCAGTACTCCAACTGTGGCCTGACCAGTGCCGTATAGAGGGGGAGGGGGAGGATCACCTCCTTGGACCTGCTCAAGATGCATCTGTGGATGCATGACGAGGTACAGTTGGGCCTTCCTGACCGCGTTCCCACACTGTTGGCCCATGTTCATTTTGGCATCAATAATCACTCCAAGATCCTTTTCTGCCACTGCACTGATGACAAGGGAGTTCCCCAGCCTGTAGGTCTGCTGCTGGTTCCTCCTCCCCAGGTGCAGTACCTGCAACTCTTGTCAGTGTTGAAACCCATCCTGTTCTTATCCACCCACCCCGTAACCTGTCTAAGTCTGATTGCAGCCTATTCCTCCCTTCTAGCGTGCTCACTTCCCCCCGCATCTTAGTGTCTGCGAATTTGAACAGGGTGCTTTTTACCCCCTTGTCCAAGTCGCTGATGAAGATGCTGAACAGTGCAGGTCCGAGGACTGAGCCCTGGGGGACCCCACTGCTCACATCCCTCCAGGTTGAAAATGACCCGTCCACCACCACTCTCTGGGTGCGGCCCTCCAGCCAGTCAGTGACCCATTTGACTGTGTAGGTGTCGACGCCACAGTCCCCTAGTTTTTTAATGAGAATGGGGTGAGAGACAATGTCAAAGGCCTTCCTAAAGTCCAGAAAGACTACGTCCACTGCTACCCCTGCATCTAAGGATTTTGTGACCTGGTCATAGAAGGCCACCAGGTTGGTCTGACAGGACCTGCCTCTAATGAACCCATGTTGCTCCTAAGCATAACCCCCCCTGCTGGTCCCTTGTGGACATGCGCCAGGATAATTCTCTCAAAAAGCTCAGAAATAATTTTCTGCATTTTCTGTTATTAGCTATTAAGACAACTGTTGGTTAAATACATAGCAACCTTCATGTCTAGGTTAATCTCTTTCAAATCAATTTCGTATTTGCATTTCAGCTAATTCGTTTGGGTTATTTTGGGAAACTTAATTTCTAGCAACCTGTTGATTCTGTTTTGTAACAAATTTATTAATAAATTTGTCTGAAACACCAACTAGCAGTTACGCAAATGTTTTTAAATTGTTATAAGGCTATTTGCTAGATCTCAGTTTTCTTACACCACTATAAACAGCTTAGTATTTTATTGTATTTTTTTTATTTGGGAGGAAATAGCTCTACAAAAAACAAAAGATACACATCAGTTCAGTTCAACTACTGCATTTTTATAAAGCCTAAACCCACACAATGTGGTGGATTTCTGTGTTACATTCTTCTTTTACCACTAGCAGAGTGGCATTTCTTTGAACACAACAAAACACTAAGCAACATGAAGAGAGATTTTTTTTGGAAGTCCACAAGGATTTCAACAGAACTATTCTTATGACATCTAAATAGCCTCTGTGTCTTTCATCCAGCTGAAGAGGTAAGATGAAAGACAAGAGTCTATTCATAAGATTTAATACTAATGGTTATTTAGCTTTCAGCATCATCAGTAACAAGTACACTGTATTTCATGCTTACTGCATATGTGACAAAGTATTTTATAGTTAAAAAGGTAACATTCCTTGTTTCTACTTCCATGCCACCTTTCACCTAATGCCAGTAATATGAGCTAAGTATGAGCTAACTTAAAAAAATCTATCCAAGGCACATGTGACTGCGCTTACTGCATTTTATCATTTGATGGCAGGTAGAACATTTAAATACCCGCAAGGTTTATGCTTCAGAATTCAAAGTGCTTTAGGTTACAAATACCATGACTGATGCATAAAACATTCCTACATGCTTATTTGAAAGTCAAAAGCAAAATTTGTGCTTGTCATGTCAGAATCTGAGGTTTTCCAAGAAGCATCAAAGGATGATCAGCATACTTTAGTTTTTATTCTGTCCTTGTACTATCAATTTAAGATGGATTTATAAAGTACATATAATAGGCTTGTGATATCATTTAAAAATTAATTTGTAATTAGTAACAAAGCTTTCAATAACTCACATTTAATCATACATCTAAACAAAAATCTCTTTTGTTGCACTGAAAAACAGGGCTGAAAATCAAGGGTTTACAATAACATTTTAAAGACTTAATCTGCAACAAAAAAGGCAGGTTTGTTCCTCTCCTCAGATTTCTCTTCTTATAAGCTAGAAGACATATAAATAATACCCATCTCATCTTATCTAAGATGACAAAGCCTATCCCTGGATTTATAAAAAATATGCACCTACTTGTTTGCTCCCTTCTTTATCAGTTGAAATTCCAAGGTGGAATTGGCACAAATCCAAGTACTGTTAGCAAGAGTTAAGTATATTTTAAAACTACAAGACAGTACATTTCTTTAAAGCAGAATATGCAATAGGAAACCTGAGAGACTACAGCTTAAGGGTGTAGTTTGAAAAGATTGCTTTTGCCAAGTTTAATGCTATTAAATTAGGGTACATGTTAGTACATAATTCTTTTTGTCCATAGACTTGTTAAGTACCTTTACTGCTGAACTCTATAAATTAGTACCAACATGACTATTCTTTGTTAAGAGGTTATGAGAGATGTATTAATATTTCCAACAATGCATACTCCTGAGGTTAGGTGGAAGAACAATTTTATATTTTGAAACTTTTTATCTCCACCATGGGAGTGAGATGGAAACCTGATCTTATACCCACAAAAAGTGCTGAACAGAAAAATTCTTAGGAGTACCCCAAGCACTAATCCTAGGTATCATGCTAGTCTGCATCTACAAAGTATGCTCCTCTTTCCAAGCTTCTGAAATTCAGAAAATGGTAAAGTAACCTATGTCATAGAATCAGTATATATTACAACTGCAAAAGCCTGTAGTTTTAAGTGTATTTTTATTATATGAAAATAAAAGCATAATTTTTTTTGAGAACTTCCTATGCTCCCAAGTGACAGTGCTTTCAAAATGTTACTTTAACTCCTGAAATTTCCTTCTTAATAAGGAAAACCTGATGGCTCAGATAAAATTATTTTCTTATTAATCACAGAAACTGCTAAAAATTATACTAATAGAGGTCTTGAAGCTGCAAATAATTAAGTGTAGCTGTAACTTGCATAAATAATGCCAATGAACCAAAGGTTTGGCACCTTCAATGCAAGTCTAATGGCAAGTACAAGCCAGAAAGTGATAGGCAGTAACAGTCTCTGTGTTCAGAACAAAGTACAAGAATGATTTAAATAATTTTTATATAATGAGCAAATCAGGCTATTTATTGCAGGTAGGTTTGTATGCTACATCCATCACTGAGCATTCTCCAGTAATCCAATATGCAACGCAACTGACTTGTGTTGTGTTTGCTCTTTTATTCTCTCTCTGGGGCTAGGGACAGACATTAGACATAAATTGGTTTAAGTGATCACAAACTGGTTTAAAACGGTAACAGAACAGGGCTAGGGACAGACGTTCAAAAAGCCGAAGCTTGAATTGATTCAGTCTTTGCAGGTTACTCTAACCTGCAGAGAGTGAACCAGTTTACAAGTGGATAGATGTTCGGCACATGCCTGCGGGGGCTCAAGCCAGAAGCCTAGGGGTGCTAGAGCAGCCCTCCCTTCCCTTCCAAAGGGAAGATGAGCTGAGGAGCGGGGCCTGGCCAGGCCCCAGTGCCTCCCTGACAGCCCGGAGCAATCCGGGCACACAGGACTACCCGGCCCCAGAGGAGAACTCTTCCCCCTCCTCCCTCTCCCTGACCTCCACAGGGCCAGGAGTGGGGCCCTGTTCGGTGCTGGGGGGCTCTTTTTCCTCCTTCTCCCTTGCCGGCACCATGG